TCCTGCCTGATGGCCCAGAGCTGCCAGCTGGCAGCCTCAGTTTATGGGACAAGGGAATGGGCACAGTTCACTGCTCGATCTGGGAGAATGACTATCACCCTACTTGCCATCTCAATCTGCCCAGCCCTGGGTAGGACAGAAGGATGCCCATTTTACAGATGGGGCAGTGGAGTTGGTGGGCCACAGTAATGACCCTTCAGACTTGTCCATTAGTCCCGTGTGACCATCATCACTGTGCTATGTTACTAGCTTGCTCCCCACGTGAGTGTGCGTGGCTTTACCCCATGTCACAGAGGAGGAGCTGCAGCCCTTAGATGGCACAGCTAGATCTGGTTTTGGAACATGGCTACAGCATCTGTGTTCCTCCTCACAGCTCAATGCCTCTTTCCCCATAAGATCTGGAGCCAGGAGACTTCTGCTCACCCTCTTGTTCCCCTCTAGGTGACTGGTGGTGCCAACAGCTTCCTTCTCAGCACCTGCTGCATCTGGAAAAGCCCCAGCCTTCGGCATGGATCGAGAGGAAATCTACAGTGTGACTTAGGACTTTCTATGTTTCTGAAAATAACTTTGATGTGTGAATGCATTAAACCTTGCTCTGAAACCTGCCCTGCCTGGACATGGTGATGCTGCAGACTTGGTAACCTGGTGGCTCGAGAGACCCAGGGGTCCTTTCAGCTCCAAAATTTTGCAAATCTCTGAGTTTCCTAATGGCTGGCAGAAATTGGTTATTTAGGTATTTAATAGGTAATACCTATAAAGTGCATTTACCTATTGTTACCTTAAGAAATTACCCCATAATGCCCGGCAAGTATGGCTTAGTTCACCACTTCTCAACCTGTGGGTCGCAACCCCTTTGGGGGTTGAACAACCCTTTCACAGAGGTTGCCTGAGACCACCGGAAAACACATATATAATTACATATTGTTTACAGTAGCAAAATTAGTTATGAAGTAGCAACGAAAATAATTTTATGGTTGGGGGTCACCACAACATGAGGAACTGTATTAAAGGGTCGCAGCATTAGGAAGGTTGAGAACCACTGGCTTAGTTGCTTGAGCATCATCCCATGCACCAAGGGATTGCTGGTTTGATTCCAGGTCAGGGAATATGTCCAGGTTGTGGGCTCGATTCCCCAGTGGGGGCCTGCAAGAGGCGGCAGATCAATGTTTTTTGGTATTATTATTTTAGAGAGGGAGAGAGAAAAAAACATTGATCAGATGCCTCCCACATGCCCCCCTTCTGGATATCAAGCCTGAAACCCAGGCATGTGCCCTGACCGGGAATTGAACCAACAACCTCAACCAACTGAGCTACACTGGCTGAGCAATAAAAATATATCTTTAGAAAAAAAGAAAGAAATACCCTATGACAAACACTCATTTTCAGTTTCTGAGGGCGAAGAATTTGGGAGTAACTTATCGGTTGTCCTGGCTCAGGATCTCTCATGAGGCTGCAATCAAGGGGCCACCTCATCTGAAGGCCAGACTGCGGATGGAGGAGCCAGTGTCTCCCTCATGTGGCTGTTGGCACAGCGAGGCCTCAGCTCCTCTCCAGGTGGCTTTGCCCACAGAGCTGCTTGGGCATCTTCACAGTGTGGCTGCTAACGCTCCCGCACCACCCCCTGCACCCCCCAGTGAGTGGTTTCACAGTGAGCAAGCAGAAGCCACATGTCTTATGAGCTACCCTCTAAAGTCTCACTCCATCCTCTATTCTATTCTCACTGCACATTCCATTCACTAGGACCACATCCCCGCATCCAGCCCACACACAAGGGGAGAAGAATTAGACTGTTTTCAAAAGAGGATATCAGAACTTAACAGATGTATGAAACCATCACATGAAGGATATAAAAACAGGTAGGTACATACGGATAAGGCATAGTCCGTTCCCTTTGGTGCCCCTGCCCAGTTCTAATTCTTGCCAAGTTCTTGAAAATTCTAGAAAGATTCTATATATAGACAGTATATTTTTTAAAATAGCTGTTATATTAGTCTGCATGGGCTATCATAACAAAATACCACAAATTGGGTGGCTTAACAGAATTTATCTTATTTTATTCTTAACAGAATTTAGATAATGAAAGTAGTTTCAATTTTCTCACAGTTCTGGAGGCTGGAAGTCTAAGATCAAGGTTCCAACAGGGTTGGCTTTGTGAGGACCTGACTCCTGGCTTGCAGACAGCTGCCTTCTGACTTGATGCCTGAGTAGAGGGAGGAAGAGAGAGCAAGTGGGCTCTCTGGTGTCTCCTAGAACCCTACTGATCCCCGGGTGCCAGGACCCACCTTTCTGATCTCATTTAACCTCTTTATATCCTTGGAGGCCCCAATCCAGACAGCCGCACTGGGGCTCAGAACTTCAACATAGGAATTTGTGGGGCAGGAAGCCCTTATGCAGTCCATAACAGCTGTATATTTTTAACACAAGTAGTGGCATTTACTACACACCTTTCCACATGTACTTTGTTCATCTAAGGCTTATTTCCTGGATGTGTGAATGCATTAAACCTTGCTCTGAAGTCTGCCCTGCCTGGATGTGGTGATGCTGAAGACTTGGTAACCTGATGGCTTGGGTGACCACTTAACCCTCTGAGTGCCAACCAATATCCTAGGAACTATGCTAAAATTTCCAAGGCATTTTGAGTTAAGATGTTTAATTTTTTTTCCCCACATAAAGAGTGAACTACTAGCATCTAATAGTGACACTGCAGGGGGAGCGCGATAGCACTCCCGGCACTCTAGGTGTTAAGCAGTATCCTTAGTTTTATTTTTTGGTGTGTGTGTTGTTGTTGTTTTTTGTAGTTAGGTTGATATTTCTCAATGAAATGCTTATTATGGAAGTAATAAAGCTAGAACGTTTTTGGAAGGCATGCATTTCATTTCCAGATTAGAGAACTTTAGTCAATAAATCATGTCCAAACTACACATTAAAATGTTTATAAGCCCTAACCGGTTTGGCTCAGTGGATAGAGCGTCGGCCTGCGGACTGAAAGGTCCCAGGTTCAATTCCAGTCAAGGGCATGTACCTTGGTTGTGGGCACATCCCTAGTAGGGGGTGTGCAGAAGGCAGCTGATCAATGTTTCTCCCTCATCCATGTTTCTAACTCTCTATCCCTCTCCCTTCCTCTCTGTAAAAAATCAAAATATATTTAAAATAAAATAAAATGTTTATAAAACTCAAGCTTTAAAAAAACAAGCAAGCTTTAACATTTATATCCAGCTTTCCACATCTGTGCAGGCAAGGAATAAGATTGCACATAAGTGTAAGCAGTGCAAAAATGTGGAAGTGGAGTGATGTGCTAGAAATTGAATACAGAGTGTAAGAAAGCAATGGAAAAATCAAAATAGAAAACAGGAAAACTATATGGTCAGAATTAGGAAAGGTGAAGAATAATACCCTTGTTACTATATAAGTTAAATTAATGAGCCCTAGCCAGTTTGGCTCAGTAGATGGAGCGTCAGCCTGCGATAGGGTCTCGAGTTCAATTCCAGTCAAGGACACATGCCCAGGTTGCAGGCTCAATCCCCATTAGGAGGCAGACAATGATTCTCTCTCATTACTGTTCCTATTTCTCTCTCCCTCTCCCCTCCTCTCTGAAATCAATAAAAGTATATATATATTTTTTTTTTTGTATTCTTTTTTTTAAAATATATTTTATTGATTTTTTTACAGAGAGGAAGGGAGAGAGATAGAGAGTCAGAAACATCGATGAGAGAGAAACATCGATCAGCTGCCTCTTGCACATCCCCCAGTGGGGATGTGCCCGCAACCCAGGTACATGCCCTTGACCGGAATCAAACCTGGGACCTTTCAGTCCGCAGGCCGATGCTCTAAGCCACTGAGCCAAACCAGTTTCGGCAATAAAAATAAATTTTGAAAAAGTTAAATTAGTGACACACATAGCACTTAAGTAATTTATTTTTAATCCGAGATTTTTCATTGATTCTAGAGAAAGGAACGGAGAGAGACATTGATCGGTTGCCTCCTGTACATGCCCCGGCGGAGATCCAACCCCAAACCTGGCTATGTGCCCTGACTAGGAATCAAACCCAAGACCCTTCGGTGCATGGGATGACACTCCACAAACTACTGAGCAACACTGGCCAGGGCAGCAGCCTCAGTTTTTAAAACTGCCTGGTACTAACATTTATTAACTAGTCAGTTAGCCAGGGATGTTTATTTCCTGTCACTTGCCATTTATAATACTTGAGATGTTCTTTCAGACATATATGAACATATCTGTCACTTAAATACATGGTGAATTGTGAGATAAATGAGTATTCATAAATTTTTGTTAACAGTATTTAACACATGCAGCGTGGACAGGCTGTGCAAAAGGAAACATGCCCCAATTCCCATATTTTTAGGCATTTTTGTAATGGTTAATAGTTTTTTAAAAAATATATTTTATTTTTTACAGAGAGGAAGGGAGAGGAATAGAGAGATAGAAACATCAATGATGAGAGAGAATCATTGATCGGCTGCTTCCTGCACACCCCCTACTGGGGATTGGGCCCACAACCCAGGCATGTGCCCTTGAGTGGAAATGAACCCAGGACCCTTCAGTCCTCAGGCCGACGCTCTATCCTGAGCCAAACCGGCTAGGGCAATACTTTTTTTTAATAACTTTAATGTTCCGGGGGAAAAACTTAATCGTTAAAAAAAACTACATAAAAAATAAGTACATAAAAAATAATTTTAAAACAACATAAAGGGCATGTCTCATTTTGTCTTGGTCTCCAAAATGGCTTGACACAGCACTGTTTGCTCAATTCTGTATTTACTTAAAATTTTAAGCCCTAACTGGTTCGGCTCAGTGGATAGAGCATCGGCATGCGGACTGAAGAGTATACCTTGGTTGCGGGCACATCCCCAGTGGGAGGTGTGCAGGAGGCAGCTGATCGATGTTTCTCTCTCATCGATGTTTCTAACTCTCTATCCCTCTCCCTTCCTCTCTGTAAAAAATCAATAAAATATATTTTTTTAAAAATTTAACATTCTGATACACTGCATGGTAAAAGCATTCAGCAGTTTATTCCTGCTGGGTGTTCAAAGGACAGTGCGTTATAAATTCAGTATCTGGCATCGTTGGTTTTCTCGGCTTTAAGCATGTTAAACCTGGTAATTTGGCACACACACACCTTAAATTTGGGCCCCAGGAGAGTTGCCTCCCTAGCCTCATATTAGCTTGCAGGGACATTGGCAGTGTCTGGGGACATCTGTGGTTGTCACATCTCAGGGTTCTCCTGGCATCCAGTAGGTGGAGGGCAGGGACACTGCTCAACATCTCACAATGCCCAGGAAGCACCCCTGGGCCCCTGTACACAGAGAATAACTGGACTCCTGATGTAAACAGTGCTGAGGGGGAGACCCTGCCATAGAAAGTCTTTTAAAGGTTCTTCATATGGCCCCTTCTGGTTTAATTTCTGTTTTCCCTTGTGGAGGTGGGCAGGGGAGGGTGTCTGCTTGGGGACTGAGCCAGCCTGCCTGGGAAAGGGGGTTTACTTCAAAGGAGCAAAGTGCAGGGAAGGCCCAGCCGAAGGGGAGAGGAGTGGGCAGCCCTGTCCCTCCCTCTTGGGGTCATGCCCGCTCTCCTAGTCAGGTACACAGCCTCTGGATCAGTTGCTTGGGGTATGATTCCAGGGGCCAAGTTTGGGCCAGATTCCCTGAGAAGCATGTGAGGAGAAAGTAGGCGGCACATAGGCTGTATATTTGACAGTGGTTCCTAAGATCAAAATTATGATCCAACACCACACATCCATCAGCATGATTACTATCAAAAACAAAACAAATGCCAGAAAATAAGTGCTGGCAAGGATCTGGAGAAACTGGAACCTGCGTGCACTGTTCATGGGAATATGAAATGGGACAGCTGCTGTGGAAAATAGGATGGCAGTTCCTCAAAGAATTAAACATAGAATTACCATCTGACTCAGCAATTTCACTTCTGGAATTCCATTTCTGTGTATACCCCAAGAACTGAAAGCAGGACAGGGGATAATCCTCGGGACCCATGACACGGGGTGGGAGTGTTGTTAATACTTTTTCCTTTATATGTGTCCAAATGGCTTCGCTGATTACAATTAATGTGTTGTCTCTATAATTGTATTTCTTTTTTTAAAATATATTTTTTATTGATTTCAGAGAGGAAGGAGGAGGGAGAGAGAGATGGAAACATCAGTGATGAGAGAGAATCATTGATCTGCTGCCTCCTGCACACCCCCCACTGGGGACCGAGCCTGAAGAAACCTGGGCATGTGCCTGGACCTCATGGTGAATGGATCGATGCTCAACCACTGAGCCACACCATCTGGGTTGTAATTATATTTCTTTTTAAAAAATATATTTTATTGATTTTTTACAGAGAGGAAGGGAGAGGGATAGAGAGTTAGAAACATCGATGAGAGAGAAACATCAATTCAGCTGCCTCCTGCACACCTCCTATTGGTGATGTGCCCGCAACCAAAGTACATGCCCTTGACCGGAATTGAACCGGGGACCCTTCTGTCCGCAGGTGGACGCTCTATCCACTGAGCCAAACTGGTTAGGGCTATATTTCTTTTTCTTTTTTCTTTTCTTTTTTTTTTAAATATATTTTATTGATTTTCCACAGAGAGGAAGGGAAAGAGATAGAGAGTTAGAAACATCGATGAGAGAGAAACATCGATCAGCTGCCTCCTGCACATCCCCCACTGGGGACGTGCCCGCAACCCAGGTACATGCCCTTGACCGGAATCGAACCTGGGACCTTTCAGTCCGCAGGCTGACGCTCTATCCACTGAGCCAAACCGGTTTTGGCAATATTTCTTATATTAAGAAATAAACTCATGCTCTGGCCAGGTGCCTCAGTTGGTTGGACCCTCAACCCATACACCAAAAAGGTTGCAGGTTCAATTCCCAGTCCTGGCACATACCTAGATTTCAGCTCCCTCCCCAGATGCAATCAATTGATGTTTCTCCCTCTCTATCTCTAAAAAAATCAATAAAAACATATCTTCTGGTGAAGATTAAAAAATTAATTTAAAAAATAAAGTCACACCCACAGGAAAACACATCTAGCAGATTAGGACTAGTTAAGGCCAGGGTCCTGGAGCCCTGGGTTTGGGTCTGAACTCTGCAGATAGAAACCTAAGGCTTCAAACCAGCTTTGGAATCTCGTCACCCCCCATTCCCATTCAGGGTGCCCACTTGGCTACTTTGCCTGCTCACCTGTCTGTGCAGCTCCCCCTTAGAGAACCCAGGGGGGGAAGGGATATAAGGAATCTTCTGAAGTTGCACTCACCTGAAGACTTGAAACAAATGACACCTGCCTGCTGTGGGCTTGGGTTTCCCCGCCTGGGACCTGCCTCCAACCTGAGCACGGATCGCGCGGCCCAGAGTTGGGAAGACACCTGCTGGGGAGAAGCAGGTACGCGGGCTGCCGCTCTTGCACTCCCTGGGTGGTCCTGGGCCTTCTCACTCACCCTCCCGCTCACCCCAGGACTCCAGGGCGGCAGGCAGGAGGTCCAGCCGGGCCTGGCGCCCGCCACCCACCGCCGTCCACTCCTGCAGTCTCAACGCCTGCCCGGGCCGGCCAGGCTCTGCTCCGGGGAACAATGAAGCCATGAGAGGGACTGCCAGGGCAGCGCCACCTGGACCCTCTGGCTGGGATGGGAGGAGGTTATGGGAGGGGGACAGAAGGAGGGCGAGACCCCCAACCCACAGACGGTGGCCGGACTAAGGTGGAGGCGGGGAGGAGGCGGCGCACTGCCGGATTCGGAGACGTCAGAAAAGCGCTGGTGGGACCCGGGGCATGCAGCGGGGTGGCCCACGGCCACGGCCCGGGATGTGGACCCCGGTGAAGAGGCTGGACGCCGTGAGACCGGGAGGCTTGGCTTAGAGGCCCGCCGCCGGGCTGGCATCCGGGACCCAGGCGGGGTCGTGGTGACAGGCGCAGGAGGGAGATCCCTGCGAGACGGGGGGCAGCGCGAACACAGAACGCAGGCGCGGGGCGCGCGAGCCTCGTGCCGCCTCCGGTGACTCCGTCCGGGCGCGGAGTGGCGCTGTCGCCGCGGGGCGGGGCCTGCGCAGCGCCTGCGCAGCACGCGGCCCCGCGCGCGGGCGGGTGGGCGGAGCGGGCCCCCCGAGCGGGGGCTGGCTAGCGCGGGGAGGGGGCTGAGAGGGCGGCAAAGCCGGCGCGCGCCCGGCTGGGGGTGGAGGGTGGGGGCCTGCGGGCCGGAACAGCCACGGTAAGTGGCGGCGGCGGCGGCGGCGGAGGCAGCTGAGGCGGCGGAGACCGGGGGTCCGGGCGGCGGCGGCGGCGGCGGCGGGCCGAGGAGTCGGGCGCGATGGAGCGGAAGAGGTGGGAGTGCCCGGCGCTCCCGCAGGGCTGGGAAAGGGAAGAAGTGCCCAGAAGGTCGGGGCTGTCGGCCGGCCACAGGGATGTCTTTTACTATAGGTGAATGAACGTGCTAGCCGGGCAGGGCCCCAACGAGCGCCTCCCAGCGGCCTCTGCGGCGGCCTGGGCACCCTGACCGGGGCCGCGGCCTGGGCCCCCGCGCGTGCGTCGTGCGTGCGTTTGGGCGCGCGGCGGACGCCCGGCCCAGTGCGCGCGCGCGGCGGCCTCCCCGCCCCCCGCCCCCAAATTGGCCGAGTGCGCGTGCGCCCCCAACGTGGCCGCATGGCACTTGAATCTGCAACGGACGGTCGAGCGCCGGCCTCTCTTCGGCAGCCATGGGAAACCTGCCAGAGGGCCGAAGGGCGCCGGCCGGTGCAGGCCAGATGTCGCTGGGAGGCAGGGGTGGGGGCTGGGCTAAGTTTTCTCTGATGGGCCCGGGAGGGGAGGGCATACCTAGGAAAGCAGATTCCTGGGTTCCCGGGGGGCGGTGGGGGGCTGGGGATGCGTGTTTTGAATGGTCACCCTTTCCGATCTTTGGGCTTGTTTGGGGAGCGGCAACCACGTTGGTCGTATATCCTTCAGTCACAGAGACGCGGGACATGAGACTTTATGAACCCCGCACAAACAGAGCCCAGCCTGTGGGTAGTGGTCCGCGGTTTTCAGAGTCCCTCTCCCCAATATTGGAAGCAGGAGCTGCCCTTAGCCCGGGAGAAGAGGCCAAATGGGCCCGAACCCTCTCCGTGGAACAAAGAATTAGTGGGAGGCTTGAAGCCCATTCCCAGACAGTGGGCCATCTGCTGTGTGCCTTCTCCCTCTTTCCCCCCTGACTGCTGGAAGGAGCTTTTGTTTCTGAGCCAGCTTTGACGGTTCCCTCCCCTTTGCTTCAGGTCCCTGATGAAAGAGCCGGCAGGACACCTGCCTCCTGTTGAATGCCAGCTGGTGCTGGGGGCTATGCAGCCTGGTTGTGGGCCCAGAAACTGGCTGGGTGAGGCCAAGGAAAAGCAGAAGCAATGCTCCATCCTCCAGCACTTGGGAGGGGGAGAACTAGGCTTTTGCTAGCCCCTTTTCGGAAGGAGGGAAGTGAGCTGGGCAAGGATAGTGACTGGTCCAGGACAAGCTCAGACTCTGGTTTCCGGTTTCCAAAAAGTGCAGGGCAGCGATGGGAGCGAAACTGTGGGCTTCCAAACGTAGTTTACAGAATTGGCTGGAACCTTTAACTTACTCATTGACATAGTGGCGCTGCAAAAGTGTTTCTTGGGGACACGTGCATTCTCCTCTGCTGTCATTTGCGGTGAGATCACTCCCTCGCAGGGTCTTTAGAAAACCTAAATCCTTTTAGTTCTGTCCTGGGTCAGTGGGGAGGCTTCAGAGTAGGACCATGTGCCTCATTTAATTCCAAGCATGCTTGTGTGCTTGCTTTCTTTTAGATCCAAGGACCAAGGCAGGTCTCTCTGTTTCTAGTCCTTTGTTAATTTAACATCTCGGCAGCATCTGCTAGGTGTCTGGCACTGCTGGGTCCTGGCCATTCAGCTGGGAGTAAGACCCCGGCCCTCCCCTTCCAGGTGACAGCTGAGGCACCAGCCCTCACCCTGTTACTCCTGGGTTTTAGGTGGTGACATGCTGAGAAGTGCAGGTGGTAGGGGTGCCTGGCAGAAGCTGGGGCAGGTTGGAGGGCCTAGCTGAGGAGGTGATGTCTAGCTGAGCCCTAACAGTGAAGCTGGGAGGAAGAGCAGTCCAGGCAGTGGGAACACCAGGAGCCTGTGC